CCTCCTCCTCCTCGCGCGTCCCCGCGGGCGGCTCCCCAGCACCCCGCTTGCTGGACGGCGACGCCGGCGTTCGGGGACGGCCAGCCACGCAGAGGGCAGGGAGTCCGGGGACCGACTCCCCCCACGCTGCCCCGCGAGGACCGAAAGCGGGGCAGGCGGGTCGCCAGGGCGAGGCTGGCGGGCTGCGCGGCTGGGGTGACCCCGGCTCCCCGCCTGGCCGCCCGAGAGGCTACGAGCACAGGCACGGCGCAGAGGAATCCGCCCGGGAGGAGGAGGCGTGGACCGGCACGGGGAGGGTCACCGCGCGGGGCCGGGCGGCCCAGGGCCCTCCCGGTACCTCGCTCCCCGGCACAAAGCGGCTGCGGGCGCCCGCCGCTCCCAGGCCGGGGTCAGCAGTGAGCCAGGGCCGCGCGCCGCCCTGCTCTCCTGCCCGGGTCTCCCCGGTCTCTGCGCCGGGGTTTCCCGCGGTGGCCACGCTGGGCTAAAAAACACCTAAAGAGAAACTTTCCCCCTGGGGCCGAAGCGACGCTCCTCTCCCGCCCGTTAGCTACGCTTCAGCGAACAGCCAGCTGCAGAGCCTCTTTCGGAAACCTGGCGGGCTTTTGCGCAGCGGGCCGGCGCTCTCGGAGGCGGCCCCGGGGCGGGCGCGAGCTGCACGCCCCGGCGGGCTCGCCCTCGCTGTCTGGGACGGCGACGCCGCGGTCGCCTGTGCGTGCCTCCGGCGCACTCTCACGCGCGCGTGCGGTCCCTGCTTGTTGAACTCCCAGCCGCTTTCCCCCCGGACCCCTGGCGGCGCGCTCCCTGTGGGCTGGCGACGGCTCTGCGCCGCGCACTGCCGCGGCCGGCCTGGGAGTGGACCGGGGAAGAAGTGCCCCGTCCCCGGCGGTGACCAAGACCTCGCTTGTGCCGGCTCTGGCCACGTGACAGGGGCGGTATCGGCCCTCCGTGCGGTCACGTGACGCGATGGCTCCCAATCGCCGCCGGGACACGTGATGGGGGCGGTGCCTAATCTCCGCGCCCCGCCCCCGCGCCGGCGCCGGCGCCGCAGCCGGGGAAGGGGGACGGAGGGGC